GAATACATATATATAGATATATATCTAACCGTACCTTAGTTGCCACTAGTAACAAGGGAATCATATTCTCTTCACATGACACTGACTACGTAGGTATGAATGTAGTGTGACTTTAATTCCCAGATTTTCTCTTCTCTTGGTAATATATCAACATTTAGCCTTATCCCGAAGTAACTTTCCTGACCTCTGTGCCTCTCTAATGATTCTCTGATGTATGATGAATTGCTCATCGAACTTCTTTGTATCTTTCGCATCGCTCAAGACCTTTGCGGCAGACTCAACCTTTGTTGCAAGATCAGCCACGCCCGTATTGGCTGCCGTTTTCTCGATGTCGTACCCGGTGTATTTGACGCCGTCTCTCGTGGATTCGGGTTTTGGTTCAAGTTTCAGACCCAGCTGCTTCTCCAGTTCCGGGGCGAAATACTTCATATTGTCGGCTCTTCGGACTTCAGCAACCAGGTCCAAAGCGTCGATCTTTTTTCGAAGCTCTTCTCGATATTGATTTTTGGGGGCTGTGTTCATGATATTCCCAATTTGCCGAATGGCTTCCGTTAGGGAATTTCCTTTCAACTTGGGGAGCAACCTAGTTTGGTCGTAGTCGGCTACAAACTTTGCCTCTCGAAGATTCCTCGACATATCTACCAAGTCGGTAGTTTCGAATCGGTTCAAAATCTCCCTTATCTGATCTCGGTCGTTCGCATTCCGGGCTTTCTCCGTGCTGATATGTTCCACGAACTTTGCGTATCCGCATGGCTTATCACCATCACGGCACTCAGGGGCAATCCGCAGTTGGCTACCTTCCTTCTTGAAGAGCCTTTCTACCCGATATGCATGGTAGAAGAAGGCCGTTTCTGCGGCGCCTGCAGCGTTGAGTGCCTTGACCGGTCCAGCCAGCAGCTCGAGGATCAGGAACAAAAGATATACAAATCGATGCATCTGGGGCGGTTGATAGAAGTGAATAATTGTAGATGGCGGAAGGCTCGAACAATAGACGTGGCTGATCAGCGCAAAATATGCTTTCCTGGGGTCAGGATGTGCCCAATTTAAACGAGAACCCGAGAAAGACGTTATGAATACGGCTCAAACAGCTTGATCTCCCGGCCAACACTAAAACCAAACGCTACTCTGCTAACGAGAGCTATCCTCTCCTTCCTACACCGAGGCCTCATATTGCCATGTCTGAACAGAGATTACCAAAAAACGAGGACTAAATTTTCAGGGGTATCAAACGCCGAACATACAATGGTGTTCCCCTAGCACCCGTGTCTCACAGGGGGATATTGCCATGCAATAATTACAAGGAGTCAGAAGTCGCTCGTCCTGTAGCAATCTACTTGGCCTCTTTGTTGGTTCCTCGAGACGCTAAGGTGACGACGCCCCACCCTGTTACTCCAACCACGAGCTCACTGCGTCTCTGATCGGATCTCATGCAAGGTACAGTAAGTAGAGAATGTAATAACATAGAGCTGACACGCGGTACCGAATATCGACCGATTGAGAGCGGCTGGGCTTCTAGCTCCTGCCCAGAAGGGCCTCGCTCGTTGGCTAAAAAACTCGGAATCCTCAATCGGGATATAGTTCCTAAGTCAAAATAGCCAGGTTTATGGCTTTCCTACCCTCAAAGAGGCTTGCCTCCGTGGCAGGTGACATTGTAGTCCGCTTTTCCCCAAGTCACTATGCACAGTACCAATCGATAACAGGCGAAAACTTGCCTAGATCCCGATAGTGGTGAATGAACAAGGTTTCTGTTAAGTGATTCGAACTATGCACTCGCACTAGTCTCAGAAGACCCAATATACTCTTACCTTGGCAGGTTCGAACATTAGCTCACTAACAAGCCCACTCCAAACCCGGGTGCCTGACACTATTACTTGGTCCTTTGGGGGTGATATAACCGGGCCGCGCCGCCGACAACATGGCGCTACGACCAATTGAAACCAGAATCGATTGAAAAGGCCAAGGCGACTAAGCACTAGGTCAAGATCGATCACAAGTCCATGGGCTTGCCATGAGCAGATGCACCGGAATCATAGACTAGTGCCAAGCATGAAATCATTTGTTATCCGGAAATCTCCGAGTCAGACCGTGATGGTCATTCTCGTGAGCAACAGGGTTTTTACCCCTTGCTATAATATAATTCCTTAGTCAATTTAGTGAATACTACCTAGGTGGTCGCCCAGTGACTAGGCGTGTTCGCTATCTAATGCCAAGGATCTACACTGATGAGCGTGCCCTGCAGCCATTCTTACGGTTGCGGCCAGGTACTCTTGGCATATCTAAACCCACCAATGATAGCAAGTGGTTAAGATGATGCCAAGGTTCCCGGATTCGTTTCATAAAGCGTGCTTTCATTTTCCCACGGAGGAAGCCTCTCCGCGGTCTCTCAATCGAGGGTATGTCGGAACTAAAGATCCGGATGGTGACCGAGTCATTCTATTTATCATGTTCCAGACTATACGATGACTCTGGGACACGGAGCAATAGCCTTGTCAACTGCTCGACTAACCGCCAGATTGACAACTTTACGCCGCTCCACGGAAAAAGTTCACTTCTCTGTCCTCCATCCCTGTGTGATATGGCCGAACTGCTAGCACTAGTGGTTTTGAGGGATTTTTCCCACCTCACCCCGGCATTCCAACATGGTAACAAGACTTCGAGCTGCTTTGCAGTAACCGCCAGGTGAGTCCGGCAAAAAGGGGGTTTGGATATGCTCCAGATACGACCTGTGTAGCCAAGGGTACATATATACCCCTCAAGAACCAGAACCTTGTTGTACCACATCGCTCCTTTCGATCCCTACGATCATTCCACTACTCTCTTTTATTCTGGGCTTGTGCTACCTTAGTCTCGCAGGCATTCCTTTTCTTTGAGAAAACACCCCAAGGTCTACGAGACTCGCCACAATGCAGTCTCTACACTCTTTTCTGATCTTATTCCTTGTCACGTACACCCTCGGGTTTCGTCCAACCTCGGGCAACCGTCCCCAAATCACAGGCACCGACATCTGGCCCTTTATCCGAGATGTCCTCGAGGCCTTTTCACGCCTGAATGGAGCGTGGCCTCCCGAGGTCCGTTCATATAAGACCCTCGAAGATTTTGCTGGCATTTTATCAGCACCTTCAGCCTCTCCACGGAATACCACACAATCGCCAGGCATCACCAAATGGAAAAGCCCTTATGTTAATACTTCGGCCCCCGACCTTCGACTGTCTACGTTGACAAGCAATCTACTCGACACCGAAGCAAAGGAGCCCAAGGCCGTCTTCGCTCACTTCATGGTAAGCCCACCCAATGTGACTTGGCTCCAACCCCCATGCGTTTCGGCAACATGAAAACTAATTGCATTCACAGCTTGAAAATGCCAAAGACTGGACTGTTGGGGAATGGGAAGACGAAATAAAAATCGCTCAGTCGGCTCATATTGATGGATTTGCGCTCAACTTTGCCAACGATGATGACCTGGAACGCCTTTTACTTGAGATTCTGAAGGCCATGGTGGCGGCCAAAAGGCGGGCCTTTAAGATGATTTTTTCATTTGATTACGCAGGCAATGGTCCTTTTTTGATCGACTCAGTTGTCACTATACTCGAATTCGCACCCCTGGCAGAATATTACAAGTACCGAGGAAAGCCGCTGGTCTCGACATTTGAAGGCCCGGCAAACGCCAAGGACTGGATCGAAATCAAGAAAAGGGCCGATTGTTTCTTCATGCCGGACTGGTCTTCGTTAGGAGCCAAGGATGCCCTGGCCCTTGGAACCGCTGATGGGCTATTCAGTTGGGCAGCATGGCCTTGGGGAAACACCAACATGGATACATATGTCGACGCCTCATATCTCGACTTCTTGGGCAGGGCTGGGAACAAGCCTTATATGATGCCCGTGTCGCCGTGGTTTTATACCAACTTGCCCGGCTATAAGAAGAATTGGCTCTGGCGCGGTAAGAGATACATGGTTTGCTTCCACCGGAGTGCCTGCTGACATGGCCGTCCACCAATAATTAGGAGACGACCTGTGGAGGGATCGATGGGAAGAGGTCATGGTCGTCCAGCCAGACCTTGTCCAGATCATTAGCTGGAACGACTTTGGGGAGTCCCACTATATCGGTCCGCTGCCGAAGGGCAAGTACAGGGCGTTTGAGATTGGCAGAGCTCCCTACGACTACATCACCGGGATGCCCCACGATGCCTGGCGCAATCTTCTTCCCTACTGGATTGACACGTACAAGAACGGCAAGGCATCAATCTCACAGGAGCTGGTGGTTGCCTGGTATCGGCCGAACCCTGCCGCGGCTTGCAATGACGGTGGGACATCTGGCAACACCGCTCTGCAGCTTCAGATCGAGTTCCCTCCTGCCGAGGTTGCGCAGGACAAGGTCTTCTTCTCAGCCGTTCTGACCTCCGACGCTACGGTATCCGTGACGGTTGGTGGAGTAGCTCTTCCCGCGAAGTGGGAAAAGAAACCCAGCGGCGGTGTGGGTGTCTACCACGGAAGTGTGGCATACGGCGGTCATCGCGGGCCCGTCAAAGTCACTGTTTCACGCTCCGGTAGCACCATTGCGTCCTTCACTGGGACTGACATCACCACAAGCTGCACTGATGGTTACACCAACTGGAACGCCTGGGTGGGGAGTGCCACAGGGCCGAATCTGGCGACAGCAGTTTCGCCCAAGCTCGCGGTGGACGAACAAAAGTGCGTCAAGGGTACCGCAAAGGGCAACTTTCAAGGCCTCTGTGAGTTCACCTGCCAGTACGGGTACTGCCCTATTGGCGCCTGTGTCTGCCTTGAGCTCGGACCGCCCAAGGAGCTCCCCAAACCAACTGGAGTCAAGGGATACCCGATCGCAGGCGAAGGGTCCAGCTACATTGGCCTCTGCGATTTCGCCTGCAATTACGGCTACTGCCCGCCCAATGCATGCGGAACAACCGAAGTTGTGTTGACCGAGCCCACTGTGTCGCCGTTCCTCCCACCGGCCTGCACTTCTGGCAAGGGTAAGGATAACTTCATCGGTCTTTGCCAGTATGCCTGCGACTTTGGATTCTGTCCGATCAAGCATTGCACCTGCACCTCAACTGGGACACTTGTACTCCCGCCTCCCGCGGACACCGACTACAACGGTACGTGGATACTCGATGGCGACGACGCCGGGCTGTGTACCTTTGCGTGTTCTCGCAACTACTGTCCCGAGACGGCGTGCCGGAGGGGCCGGGTCGACGAGGTCCCGATGTGCAATGATGATTCCACGGATCCAAAATGCATGGAGGACGCCGAGGCATGCGATGTTTCCCTCACGTTCAATACCTGGAGCGAGCTCGAGAAGGCAAAGGACACAATCCCAAGCGGCTGCATGGGGATCCATTCGATGCAGGTGCTGCTGAAGATTCTGAAGGACACAAAGGCCAACTACACGTCCGTGGACAACGATTACGACTATTGGTTCGGTTACTATCTCAAATACATGGACCGGGTCGTGCCGGAGCAGATCCGGAACTTCGTATCTTGGGGGGACAAGGGCCCCGGTAACAAGTACTTTGATTGCACCCTGCTAGACGGGGAGCCTCACGAACCTGAGACCTGCCCTGTCTACGGGCACTCCCCCATCTACACAATCGACTACGACCTCAAGGACGAGACAGGGTTCTGGGCGGCCGTGGACGAGCGGAATATTCTGAAGGAGTGGATCACTTTTGAGGACTACGACGTGTCGACACCCTGTATCCCCGCCCCTCCTCCGAACAATTGTCAAGACAGCAAGATCAGTTTCCGCGACGCTCCGCGCGCCGCTGGCAACATTACCTTCGCCAACCCAAAGGACATCATAACACAGAGTAACGGCCGGTTCGACCAGCTTGAGCTGGACATTGCGATCACCTGGACCGAAATGATGTTCGGCATCTGGGACGGAGACCACGAGGATACAGTGGAAGCTTTGTCGCTGCCCGTCTTTATGCTCGCGCAGGCCGTTGACTCGATGGAGCAAGTCAAGCAGCTCGGCAAGGAGGAGAAGGAGCACGAGGAGGAAGAGCTAATCATGAACATCGTCACTGCGATTCTCTCCGTCCTGCCGTTCGCCGGTTCGATCATCGGAAGGATCGCGGGCATCGCTTGGATGACGCAGGCAGTCATCGTGGTGGAGCTTGTGGGAAGCACGGCGCTGAGTGTGTACGATGTCGTCAAAAACGAGGGCAACCCAGCAATGGCGGTGCTAGGCATGCTTCTGGGTGCTGCTGGCGCCAGGACCGGAAGGAACTATGCTTCGGCTGCCGTCAAGCGTCGGGAAATCGATGTCGCGGATATCGGCAAGCTGGGAGACGTGTTCAAGCGGCACGACGATGCGTTTCGGAAGATCATCCCCGCCAATCGGTTCTGTGCGGCTTGATTCTGATTGCGCCTCTGAGCGCGGACGGACAATCTGTAGAATGTAGATGATGCTTAGTAGAGGACCTGCCGCTTGACGCGGAGGTCTACATCACGTTCTTGCGGTAGGTCACTGCCAGTGAGATTGTGCTAATTGACCGAAATTTAGAGCTTTAGCCGTAAATGCCTTCCAGGACCTCGCCGCACTTCCTCCTTCTTCATCTCAGTGTCTCATCTACACTTGGGAACTATACACAGGTGTGGAGAGAGGATATTTATTCGAGTATACCTATTTCATGCCTGAATCTGATCAATCCAAAGCAAAACACCTCTCCACCGAATCCGGATTATTCCCCCACCAATGCGGCATGGAGATCTGCCTCCCCGACCCAAAGAACAAGAAAATCAACAGCATGTTCAGGTTAAACCCGGCATCGAACGCCGCCGCAATCATATAACTGTACCGCTTCCACACCTCGAACCGCTTCCGATACGCCCAGTACATCACCACATACCCCCCGATAATCGCAGACGTGTACCCCGTACTCAAATTCCCGTAGAACACCGCCAGCCCAGAGAAGAAGATACTCACGTTCCAGAGATCGATGCGCCAGCGCGGGAGGAGTCGATGCAGGCCGTACAGCACCGGCGGGAGCAGCGCACCCAGCAGAAACGACCAGGGGAGCGGGCTCATCTCGCTTTTCTTGAAGAGCTCGGCTGGCCCGATGACGGCGTACTGCACGCCGAGGGTATTCGAGGAGATGAGCGACTGGCCGGTCCACTGGTGCAGCGGGTCGGGCTTGGCGCCGGTGAGGACGTCGCGCTTGGTGGACAGGACCCAGCGCATGACGGCGTAGTTTATGGGGATGCCGAGGACGGTGCCGAAGACCTGCGAGAAGAAGACGGCGCGCGGGGGGATGTGCATGTAGTGCCCGATTTTCTGGTCCTGGAGCATGTACTGCGCGCGGTACCAGGCGTCGCCGGCGATGGAGCCGTAGGTGGAGGGTCCGCAGGGGTGCCGGTGGCTTTCGCCGGCTTTGGTGTGCACCATGTAGCCGTAGATGAGCTCGTTGAAGGAGCCGACGGCGAGCTGGTAGTTGGAGATGGCGTAGAGGAAGGCGAAGGGGAGGACGAGGGCGGCGGCGCTGCCGAGGGCGACGAAGAGGGTCCAGATGGGGATCCAGAGGTGGCCGCAAGCGATGGAGACGAGGAGGATAATGAAGCCGGCCATGAAGAGCGCCAGGTACCACCAGAGCGGGACTTCCTTGTAGGATCGCTGGAGGACGTTGAGGCGGTCGTGGTACTGGTGATTGATGCCTTCGCCTTTGGTCTGGGATGCTTTATCCCGGGACCCGAGCATCTTGAGTATGTTTCTTTTGACTTGGGAGTAGCCAAACGTGGCGATCCATGCCACCGATGCCGTGACCTTGGCGTAGCTGAAGAATGTCGCCCAGACATTCTGAAGCCCCATGTACATGGGACCGATTTCTTCATAGGCCGTTTGGTTCAGGCGAAAGTCAGATGTCAGCAGATCCAGGGTGGGATATTTGGTGCCATTGGCCGTGAGGAGGGAATTTGACATTAGTCCATGCTTGTATGAGCCCAGGTTTCCCCATTTTGCCGCTGGGATCAGAACCCAGCAGTTGAACGCAAATGCCGAGAACAACACCACCTGCGTCCACCAGGGAGTAAGCAGAATCGATGAGCCGTTCCAGTTGATATTAGACCAGTCCAAGGAGAGGTTCAAGAAGCCCATTCCACCCAGACCGGAGCCAATAAAGTTGGCGACGGGGTTACGGGGCGCAACCCAGCAGAGAAAGGCAAGCGACGAGGTGAACGGGAAGACATACTCGGGGAGGAACTGCCAGAGGGTCATTCCCAGGAGGGAAAAGAAAAATATCTTCATCTGACGTTTGGCTAATGGGGAAGAGGTGTCTTGCTTCCGGAATGTCTCAAACAGGGTGGTTTGCATCAGTGCCTGAGGCCAGATGAAAGCAGGATCGTACAGTAAGATCTGCCGTGCAATTGCAGCAAAGGCATATCCAATCCAGACAATCGCAAACATGAAGAAGATCGCCACGGCAGGGTTCACTTTTTCTCCATAGAACAATTCAGCCAGAGAGATGGGAGTGTAGCCCAGATTGTAGGAAGCTCCGGACGCGGCTGTCAAGGTGACGAGCACATGTTCCTTGATACTCCAGGGTGCGGGATTGAGACTGAATGCCCATTTCGTCAGTGGGATGCGGATTGTCCAGGCAGGGAGCCACCGGGCGAGAAAGTTGCCCACATAGTGACAGGCAATCTGCACAAAGAAGACAGAATATGGAGCTTGCGTTGTACGGTAATGGCTCATCTGCGACAAGAAAGCTCCAGGGACAACAAACAGGACGGAGAGGAGAAAATAGCGAAAGGTGATGGTGGGCAGAGTAGGATCGTCTGTGAGGCTGACCAGTTGGCGGACCTCGAGGGGAAGTGCTGCGACCTCTGGATCTTGTTCTGTTTCTTGCTCGATGGCGGCTGTTTCGCTGACCGGTTGGATTTTCTCCGCATCATTCAAAGGCGTTGCCGTTGCAGGGACTGTTTTGGGTTCATCACTGCTGGCTGGGGGGGTGCTGGACGTGTCGTCAGTGCCATGGCTGGGTTTTCGTTTTCGATTGAAAACGGTCAAACGGCCCATTTTGACCGGTTATCTACCTGAGTAGAATTCTGTATTTCGAGAGGAAAGAAGTGACGCGAGACATGCTGGAGTTGAAGTATTCAACGGCCCCTTGCGTCTTGGGTTTAGCCCGTAAGGCGTGATCGAGTGGCTATCTACCACAAGCAGCGCTATTAGTCACAGCACCGGGGATATGCCCATATACTAACCTGCTCTTGTGTGAATATGGGTATGGGCAAATCTCTGGCCATTAAGCTATATGCTTGTATTTCCGAGGACCAATGCTGATTGGGCAATTCGGAACTTAGCGGTTGGCTCATGTGGGGTAATAATGTGCACTTTTTATTCTAGTGGATGGCGTTATCAGCAGATGCTTATTCGTGATCTAAAAACTGGAATTCTGTCCAATAGGATCCTCTTCATCTCGGAAGGTCTCCGTGTGGTTATCATTCCAGCCGCTTTAGCAGCGGAGTCAACCACACATTCCGGACAGGAACTGATTATAGCCGTTTATCTTGATTCAGAAACTTGATGTGAGTTAAAATTATGTTACGTATTCAGTAGCCGTAGCATATGTCTGTTGACCATTGTACATCACCAGACTGGAGAACGTATATGGTACATATATAATTCATTCATACCGAGTACAATAACCCCGCATTAGGCTACATCATGCCCCGAAGGACTCTTCAAGGGACTCGCACCCGCCATCCAAACCATCACCCTGGTAAACTTGCCATCACCATCAACATCAAAAAAGTTGCAATTCCGCATGTCATTCTGCGTGCCATCCATCAGCTCTCCAACATAAGTCTGCTCCGTGGAAACCCTGCGATTGACTTCATCGACAACGATGTTGGTGATCTCGTGGTGCATCGTTCGGGATGATTGGATAAAGGCAGAAAACATGTTGCGGATCTCGTCGACACCACTGACTGTGACATGGTCGGTTTGTACGGTGAAAGTGGCATGTGGCGCGAAGTGGGAGACTATAGCGTCGACATCTTGGCTGTCGACGGCTTTGAAGAAGCTGGCGGGTAGGGACGCCAGATGGTCGCGGGTCAGTGCCATGTTTGGTCGACTGGATGTAGAGACTGGCAAGAGGTGATAACTATTCAGAGTTCCAGATGGAAATGGACGTGTGGATTATGTGGCACATTGGCAAGATAAGTGGCTGATCAAGTATCTCCCCGCTTAGGGCTTGTCCCGATCCTTGGCAAGTTGAACCCCGCTACGAAGGAGAGAATTCCACTGCATGATCAATATATGCACAGAAGAACTAGGAAAGCCTCTGGGCCATTTTTCGATGTCATTGTCAACTAATTGGCTGTAGTATTACTATCTAATCATGAAGAATAGAGGCTTGTGGTTAAAGGATAACTTATAAAACATAGGTAGCTTCTAATATTATATAAGGATATAAATGGTTTATACCATTTTAGGCTCACTCACACTACCTCACTAAGGATGGTTATCAGCTAATCGAATTTCACCACTCACTAAGGCTAATGTACTAAGATATACCACGACCCTATAAAATTCCGATACTGCTAGACAAAAAGGGTGTCTGGATGATGTACTCAGTGCTCATTAGTCCAGGGATTACATATAGTCAGTGGTATAATACTCTAATAAACTTTAATTACCCTAGTCTATCTGCTGAATGCAACATAAGAATAGGATGCTACTTTTGTCGTAGTATGTTGGCATACTATGCATTTTATAGTTTGGCTGGCCGCTGGAGTATAACCTGCAGAATCCACCCAAATAAAAGCACACTGAGTCTGGTTCGCCCTTGCAGCTGCTTTCCACCATGGTGTTAAACATCAAGGGTCTCTGTATTAGCTGCCTGCGTGCATATCAAGCTATCAAAGGGTTATATAAGAAGTATACCCAAAAATAGATATAAGATGTTGCTTCGCATTACTCTTATAGAGAATAGAGCCTTCATGTCACCACTACGGTATGTGAGTAAACAGCAGATTTCATCAATTACCATCGTTGATTTCAGAAAACTAGAATACCCCTAATGCGCCACAGAACTCGGATTATATTCCCCTCAGGCTGACGAGAATGAAACCCACTAGTCACCACTTTTAAAGCCATCCATGCAAGCCATTCTTATCCTCATAATCATCATGGTGAATTTCCTTGCAGCAAGTCCAGCAATGCTGATAACCAATGTCAGCAGTTTCCTAGGGATACAATCAGAGATAAGTAAAGCAATTCCTTACTCCCCACTTATAAGAATACTGCGCGTGTGAAGTGTTAGCAATATTTCTGTTCTTTCCCAGTAGATATAATGTATTTTCTCTTCTTACCCAGCCATGAGAACAGTGGGGTTCATGATGATAGCACGCTCTTTGACAGTATCGACCAGGGTCATAGTCTTCCCAAATGACTCTAGCGCTTGCTCCGGATAGAATAGCTGCCGAGGCCAGAAGAACAGTGGAGAACTTCATTATGTCGACTTGGATAAGAGCTGAAGTGGGAATGATCTTAGTTAACTGGGGGTCAGTGATGGAGTGTGGCCTATTTTCACAAGAGAACAAAGCATATTTATATCCTGATGTCTCCACAGGTAATGCTTTGTCCAGCGTCAAGAGGTTGGGAAATTGACGATTTTACTAGAGAAGTGACACACTAATGACCGAATACCACCTACTGCAGACAATGAGGCGACGTGTATAGACGGATTTAGTAATGCCCAGAGCCTTTGACAGATGATGACCAAATGACCAATCTCCTATGTAGGTTACCATGGACTATGGTGTTCAGTCTAAATTCAAATCAATTAACTTTTCCGTGGAGGTGAGAATCTCTAATAGAGCTTCATAGTCTACTACTATGGAAAAGTGTAAGTGCAGGCCAACAGCCAAAAGAGGTTTCGAGCTGCATAGACCATGCTATTTGAACTAGATCTGTCTCTTTTTTTTAGAGCTTGGCGCTGGTTATCCAGTAAGATATTTTGTAGAAGTATCAGAGAATAAATAGGGCAGAAAGTGTATGACGTCAATGCAAACAACAGCTAACTACCAGATAAAACCATGACTTCTCACATAGTACCAGTTATGGCAATATAGCCTGGAGAATCAGATACATATGACTTTGTATGAGATACTTTTATCTAACAGGTTGAGTCTTTCAGCCGGAGGTAACCTGAGACCAAGATGACGCGCTTAAAAGTCATGAATTCATCTTATTAGTTGGAGCATTTACCAAATTCGGGTGCGACAACAATGGAAACTCTGTTTGCAGTTGGTTCCAATGATTATTAGAACCTTAAGCTATAATAGGTCGTGACTGCGTGGTTTAAATGTGTAGCCCAGACGCTTTAGGTGCAGACCCGTCTATGATTCAATTTGGGAACCAATGGAATGTAATTTAAGCTTTATAAATAAGGTTGTTAGATGAGATTCGAAGCCATAGCCCTCTTCATACTAGCTGAGCGTGCTTGCCTCATAGGACTACATAACCTACGATGCGGTATAGCAATAGCAGTGATTCCAAGTTTGGCAAATATAGCACTCTTACATTCAAAGCTATTCATGGCTGACATGCAGCCTGTTTTTCAGTCTGTTCCATGAGATATATTGGTAGACTCAGGATCTAAGCCTGATAGAGTGTAAATTCTTCTGAATGCAGAAAGACTGTGCAGATTATCAATACGGCTCCATGATCATGCCATAAAGACATTGTAAGGGTACTTTAGGTGTATATAACCAGTGATAACTTACTCAGTAATCTTTTATTAAACAGAAAAACTACCTGAGATGCAGTGAGCATCACCTTGCAGAGTACTAATGATGAATCCTAGCAGGTCTTGTAGACTGGGCACTATGTAACTGCGGCTTGGGGAAGCACCCTGACATAAAGACACAAAACATATATATCAATGACGTATATAATGAGTTCAAGTTTAGCTTCTCTTAGTTCTTGTATGTAATCCACTGGCTCACTACAATAATAAATCTCCATATATAGTAATACTAAAGATGTAACAGCCTATTCTATTATTATATGTGCTAATACAGATCTCGGATAAGAAAGAGACAACACCCACTCTGCCATTAATTTGTTTTCAAGTCACCACATGCCCTTCTACACCATGACCCCCATGACCAACATCAAACCATCGCTCATAGGAACCCACGTATAGGACGAACCTACCATTCCTTCCTCAAGATCCTCTAGAGCTCCGAGTGCTTCTAGAGCTCCGAACAGCACTCATTGCTTCCTGATGGTGCCGGCGAATATGCTCCTTAAGATTATCCTTCCGATTTTTTGCTTCATAGCACCCATTGTAGGGACAGACATAGGAGCGAGGCGACTTGTGAATAGTTATTTCATGACGCCGACGGTCTTGCGAGCGTTTGAAGGGCGGTTTCCCTTTGCAATCTGGATGGTGGCATTTAAGGCTATCTGCATCGACGTGTGACCTACTTGGGTTAAACATCAGTTAAAGCTTCAATTGATTGACACTGGAGAGTCGAGAGCGAATGGATACGTGCCTTTTTCTCGTCTTCTTAGCAGGAGGGGCAGGTCCATTGGGTGCCACAGTGGATTTTTTCTGATCGCTCGTCAGGGATTCGTGAATGGCGGGCTTCGTAGGATGATATGTATTGATGGAACTAACGGTCCCAGGCGCCGCCTCCGACTGCAGGTTTTCACTGAGAAAGCCACACCCCTGGGATATGTTCTGGAGACCGATGCAGCTAGTTGCATGGAATGGCGGCATTTGGTTGGTTGGTTGTTGTCTCTGGAATTGGGCCGGGAAATGCATGTCAATTTCAAATGGGAAAGAAGAATCTTCATAGAGCAGGGGATCAGAAAAGAGGGCGTTGGAGTCAATGCAAGGGTTGCCATTGCTGCCACTACGGTATAAAGGAGCATTATTCACAAACTGATCATCAGGAAGAAGAGAGCGAGGATCTAACGTGTCTGTCGTGTCGTCGGGCGTAGAGAGGAAGGAGGCTGTCAAGACATCCGGCCAATCCGGAATGGGCAGATCAGACATGGCCAGTCGAAAGAGAGGATGAGAAGGCAGTGACTGAAGAAGTTGTTAAGAAGTATCATGGCGACTCATTGCGGCTTTCAAGGCCTTTTAAAATCCATCCTGGTATGGAGGACTGAAGGCCCGATGATTGTCTAGGGCGCGTTCGATCGCACCAGCAGCGATTACCAGCACCGCTAGACGTCCTCGGGCACGTTCAATAGCACCAGGAACATTTACCAGCACGGGTTAACGTTCTCAAGATTATCTCAGTACTATTATTTTTCGAAAAAAAAAAAAATAGGGTTTACTCGGTGCAGAATTCATCATATTTTGCTCTGTCATCGTGGTACTCCCAAGTGCCCTGGATCAGGTACGTTCCGTGACAGGTCTTACCTCGAGGGCCTCCTAGGTTGGGTGAAGGGGGGAAAAAATAATTAATTAATTATACAATAAATGATATAAGAAAATAAAATAAAATAAAATAAAATAAAAAGGAAGAAGAAGAAAAGGAATTGAAACGGGTAATAAAACGTAAAAAAAAAAGGGTATCTGGACCTGGATTTGTTCGAGTGCCTGGGGAAGAATCTGCACTTCTATCCATAATCAGGCACATGAATGGGAGTATATAGGAATTTTGTCAGGTCTAAATTATAATCCGAGTAGCAAGAATGACGATGTGTCAGGGAATGTTAGATAGGCACATTAACCATAACTTCTGAGGCGACTTCCGGAACTCTAGGAGATTAATTAGAGTTGCCTTGTTTTGATTTTAATAATGGTATACAGCATCCCCCAATGCATCCGTAAACAAGCAAATAAATAATATGAACCACTTTATGAGGGTACATCTACAGTGAACTCTCAGTTACGCATTATTTATTAAATAGTAACTCCCTGAGTCATCCTTGAGGCACTTTAAAATGGGAATATTAGTCCACCTGTAGCATATTGTGGATGAGAAAGACCGCATGGTACTTTGCTGCGGAAGAGCCTAGGTGTCTTGTGAGCATTCACTCCATATAACCAGAGCGCACGTCAGCATCTTAAGGTGGGTTAACATGCTTTAGTGTGTCTGAGCCCTAATTTCTATAATCCACCCCTTCCATCAAGTTGAGAGCAGAACAGCATAGCAATTGAGAAAAATGGAGTCTCTCACAATGACAGATTGTAAGGAAGTACCTTGCTCTGACTGTATGGTAAAGCATTGACAGTCAACTTGCGTGACAGACAGAAACCCGTAAGGCGGGAATTACAGGTAGATATATCCGTAAACGAGGCCAAGAAATCCGGTATCAGTCATGGTAGCTGATGATTGATGTTGCTGGAAGCCGGGGAACAGTGGAGATCCACCTGTATTATTGCGTGAACATACAGAACCAGAGATGAACATAAATTAGGTGAAACTGCAGAAACTGGACATCCACCAAATTCGGGCAAGTGACAGAAACTGGGATCAACCCGAAGTTCGTGGAAAGGGAGATTCGCTTGAACCTGACGGAGATCCACTTGTGCCTTGCTTGAGGCCGAATCCTGAAAGGTAATACAAAGGCTTGAGTCAAGGACGCCAGGACTAGACTGGCTGACCCAATCTGCACTTTGGACGGGATCTAGGTACGACGTAGGCACTAAATCCTTAATCCGACTCGGTATACCCCATCCACATGGATATGGATAACCCATTGAGTGCCCTGATCTATAATAAAATTATAAGTAAAAATATTAGGGTTTACTAGGAAGAATTAGAGTAGAGAGTCGATTTTACATTTTAGATGATATAATTCGGATGGTGACACTAAGATACACACTCGCCACCATGGGCCGGATCCAGACCCTGGGGGTTAGGGTCGGCTACACCTCAACGCGGACCGGAATTCCATGGCTCAACAAAGGATAGAGATAGGATCTCTCTCATACAACCTATGTAAACACTCACAAATAAGCCTGTAAAGATATATATAGAATTACTCTATAATAATATTAATAAGTATATGCATTGTGGTTGTCTTATTTACCCCATCCTATATGAGTTTATATGGGGTAGTCAAATTCTGTTGAGCCGCTGAGCTGTGGGCCTGTGGCCCACCTAAATCCCACGGCGTAGCCGACCGGCAGTGTAGATACGTATCCCTTATCTGCAATCCGACAGGCACGGGTATGAAAACAGGTTACTCCGTATATAGGTCATATTTCAACCCATATCCAATCCACCGCCGGTCTAGGCAGTCTGTCTGCTGTGTTGTCAGGCCCCACTAGCGCGACGAGCCCACGAGTTTTGACCTTTTCTCTGTCCTACGGTCCTACGGTTACCGGACCTTCTGGATAAAAATCCAAATTCAATAAAGTATAACGAGTTAGTCACTGTAGTCCATTGGTCCATTATTTTTCCAAGAAACACTGGGGCATTCGCAGCTTATCAATACTATATTAGAATTGATTTACCACCGCTGTGATATACCATTCATTCATATTTCTCCTTTGGATTTTCTTGAAGAACCACACTGACTAGAATCCACTTGACACACTGAATCTGATCACAGCAAGGAAAGCCTTAGGATTAGCGAACTGACAATAAGCCTGACAGCAATGAATTAAAACTACAGTCTCCAGGATAAGAGGACCTACTCACTGCTGTGTTACACAATTAGAAAATCTAGGAGTCGTAATCTCTGAAGTACACAATGGTTGGGTGGCCGGACGTCGGTTTGAATCGCAGATCATGATTGTTTCAGTCTGAACCGACGCAACAAGTGTGGAGGGGAATACTAAGGCACCGGAGATGCCTGCAGCCCGGGGTAAAAATGACTATTGTTCAACCAATCACTGATTATTTTTGTGGATCTATGACTTGTCGATCAATTTAAATATCCAATCAGCTGATAGTTGCCTAGACTTACCGCACAGATTATGCCCTAGCTCGTTCCTCTTGCGTTCACTGGTCTCTATCGCACCATCGAGAATCCTTAGGCCAAAGAACACGGCGATCCCGGCTGGAGAGCAGCCGGAGCCTCAAGTCAGGGACAGGGCGCTAACTGATTCCTTTACGTCATTTATTACTCCCCGTTACCTTGGTAATGGACACATGATGTTAGTTCACTCAATCTCCGCCGGTTCAGGATATCAGAACAGGTTTCGTTCAGACCATATGACCTGCCAGCTAATATGACCTGCCAGCTCAATTAAAATCCTCATACAATAGTGATGAGTTCATTCATATACATACCAATCATCTCCGACACTGCTCGATACGTCCACCTGCCAAGTGCCAACCTTAAGAATGAAGGCCAAGCCCGACAATTCGGCTGTTCAGCAATCACCGCGCCGAGAGGTGGTCTATATCAATAGCCTTTCACCATACATGCTGCGTACATCACCCACCGCTTGTCAATTCCAAAATAATACGTCCATTGATTAAGATGGCGTCGTCAGAGCAAACACATAGAAGTTCTACTACTATCCAGGAGACGGAAATTACCATAGATCCAATGAAATTGCGTAATGAACCGGATGCTGCAGCTAATAATATCGAAAAACCCCCAGCTTGGAATAATGACGATCCTACCCCGGATGGAGGCATCACCGCGTAGCTGGTAGTGCTTAGAGCATGGTGTATCCTTTTTGCAGTTTTGGCTGGATTAACAGTATGCCCCCTCCCGGGCTTTAATATACAGCATGTCTAACGGCGCGGGCATCGGAACATTCCAGAGTTACTACGAAACCACCCTTCCACCGGAGTACTCCCCCAGCGCCATATCATGGATTCCAAAGCTGCAGGTTTCCTTCATGTTCGGCATGGTATACTCCAACCCCAATCACTAGGTAACAGTGCACTGATACGAATGCAGGGCCTCATCGTCGGAAAACTATATGATATATTCTGCCCCCGGCACATCATCCTCATAGGCTCATTCCTCCATGTCTTCGGCCTCATGATGGCCTCGCTGGCCGCAAAATACTACCAGCTTCTCCTCTCCCAGGGCATCTGCAGCGCTATCGGCGCCGCAGCCATCTTCCAGCCTGCGATGGGGTGTATCCCCCGCTGGTTCAGCCGCCGGCGTGGCGCCGCGTACGGGGTTGTCTCCACGGAATCAAGTATTGGCGGAGTGGTGTTCCCGATTATGGTTAGTCGGCTGATGAAGAGCGTCGGATATGCGTGGACGATGCTCATTGGCGCGTTCGTCATCCTGGGGCTACTGGATGTTGCGAATTTGACGGTCCGCGCGCGCGGACGAGGATGGGTAAGAGGATGAGTCGGGGGAGTTTGGTGAGGCCCTTTCACGAGGCGAAGATGGTGCTTCTGGTGTTGGGATTCATGTGTTTGACGTTTGGGGTGTTTATTCCCATCAACTATATTGTTGTGCAGGCGGTGGATGTGGGGATGAGCTGCGCTGGAGCAGTATCTTGTTGCGATACTCAATGCGGGGAGTCTTCTGGGGCGATTGTCTGCCGGGGTGTGTTCTGATCGGGTCGGGGCGTATAACATCTTTGTCTGTGTGGTTTTTCTGGCTGGGGTGGTGGTGCTGGGGTTGTGGATTCCGGCCGCGGGGAATGCAGCCATCATTGTGTTTGCGGTGGTGTTTGGGTTTACGACCGGGGCATATGTCAGTCTTGCGCCGGCGCTGGTGGTGGATATTTCTCCGCTGGAGGAGATCGGCTACCGCACGGGGCTGATGTTTCTGTTTGCGTCTGTTGGTGGACTGACGACAAGTCCGATTGGGGGAGCCATTCTGCAGCGTGATGGGGGCTCGTATACCGGGATGAAAGTCTTCTCGGGGGGATGTTGCTGGTTGGCACGGGCTTTGTGGTGGCGGCCAGGGTGGTGCAGACGGGTTGGGTGCTAAAAGCCAAGTTTTAGCTCATCTAGATTCATTGTCTCGTGTCTTTAGAAGTGTAGATATCGTTATGATCAAACAGTCCACTCCCCAAACCCGAACGACTCCAGATCCCAATTCCCCCAGTCCAAGACATTCTCTGGTCCGTTCTCTTGGACATCGACCCGGTTATTCGTCAATCCCTCCCTCGCTCTCAACGCCTTGGCTCTCAATTGCGACATAACCGCCCATTTGGGCCCCGGGTCAGGCCACGCGGGATCCCTTTCCACCGCCTCAAAGGTCGCTTCGACGTTGCGCCACGCCCGCTCAACATGCACGCTAGCCGGATACACACACAGATGCCACAAAACATAACACAGAAGGTGATACTGTGTGTATGTGGTGGTGAGCCAACGGAAACCACGGAGCAGGTCGTTCGTCTGCAATTGCATTGCGCATTCGAGGCCATGGCAAGCCATCGCCAGCGTCTCCTGCGCTGTCGCACTTTCATGCTGTGGGCACTGGCTCTGGCCCTGGTTGTGGACCTGTAGTGCTTTCTGCCTCGCGTAGACTGCGACTTTCATGGTGAGGACGTCTGCGAGAATGAGGCCATGCTGGTGGATGGGAATATTGGCGTCCCCGTGTTGCAGGTAATTACGCTGAATGTAGTCCTTGAGTTCCCTAACTAGCGGGTCTGGCGAGACACCCTGCGATGTCTTTCGTGAGATCTCATGCAAATGGCGGCTGATTTGGATCGTGATCAGTGGGAAAGTCATCTCGGTCCAGCGCGGTTGAGGTGCCGGTGGCACTGCCGCCGTTGCGGAGAGATCCTGGTCGTCGAGGTTGGACGGCAGGTTCGTGTCGCAGGGTTCATTGTGCGCGATAATAGAGAGACCGTGATCCTCCGCGGCGCGTTGGTCGCACGTCACAATATGCCACCACAGTCGGCGGCGGAGTTCGCATTCCAGCGGCGAGAGATTGAAGTGTCGTCCATCACGGTGGAGGCCGATGGATTGGGCGGCACGGGTTGTGAGTCCATGAAGTGTCCAATTGGAGCGGCCACTGTTGTGATACCGGAGACATGTCTACTCATAAGCTATCGCCCTTCACAAAAGACTGTAGGATGCATACCTGGTAGATGGCCATTGCTTGCAGCGATATCAGAGTCGGTGCGTCCAGGAACGAAGAACGATAAAGGGCAAGCTCGAACGCCTGCTGATACCGGCGTATATCCGAGCGGATTTCCTCCCGCAAGGGGTCATCCGAGTGTAAAGCGGTTGTGGCTGCAAAGCAAATGGCGAACAGGAGCGCCTGGGTATCCGCAGACGCATCCCCAGGCTGGTTAATGGCCGCAAATACCCGTGGCTGTGTCGATGGAATATGAAGGATCTTCACCACTGGATCGACACGACCAAGAAAGGTCTGCCAAAGCTGGATGGCTTGCCATCGAGTAGGCTGCAGCGCCTGGAAATCTATGTGCTCGCGCAGTGAGTTGGTAATGAGGCCCTCCACCCTCAGAGGGGACTGTCGTCCAGGGCTCTTTCCCGCAGGCCGGGGCGTGCCAATTGCAGTTTGTAGTTCTTTATCTTTCTCAAGGAACCCAGATAGGAGATGTTCGTCAATATACCGACCATCTCGCACCAAAAGGCCCTGTCGAGGGTGACGCTCAGGGGCACTGGTTCGTGTCACCTTCGTCTCATCGTCGTGTATTGGACTGACGGTGGACGGACGCCGGGTCAGTCCAGTCACAGCTCTCTCCAATTGGTCTATACGAGAGACTACATCAGCCGAAGTGGCTTTTGGCTGACGGCGTTGGACTCGATTAGGGCCTGGATACTGGCAGGGAACTTTCATCCGCACACAGGCGGCACATGGGGAACCCTTGTCGCAGCGGACCTTGCGTTGATGACAGCGAAGACAAGATCGCTCGACATTATACCGTCGGACATGATCCATTGTATCATTTCAAGGGTTGAGATGTCTATCAGTTACATGCACCGGAGATGTCGGTAAAAGTGTGCCACTTCTTGGCTCTCGGCGTCGGTCATTCACAACTCCGAAACTTAAGCTTATTGCATCTCCTGGCCAATCAGAGGAGAGGCCACAAATCACTCCATCTCCTGCCATGATCATTAGTTCATTACTCCTTTGTGAATCCACTCCTCAGATCTTAGGTCTAGCAGGAAGGCAGACTTGGGCTCGGCTTGAGATATCGCGGGGAACTACACAGCCCCCTAGTGTGCGCTAATAGAAGGTGAGGCTGACAGGCAGCCATCTAAGCCACGTTCCCTGCGGAATAAATCTGCTCTATGATCTGTATCCCATATCAGATTATCAACTCAACACCAAACAAGAACAATACAAATGGCTCTTTCAAACATCCCACACATCAACCTCCTCTGCATGGAAGAGCGCTTCATCCACGCCTTCCACCAGGCTCTAGCCCAACATTGGCCCGAAACACACACCACCCCCAAACCCACCATCACCATCCTCAATACCTCCCTCCGCCAAGTCCCATCCAGCACAAAGTTCGACCTGATCGTCTCACCAGCAAACTCCTACGGCCGACTCGACGGCGCCTTTGACGACGCCATATCCCGCGCCTTCTGCCGGCCCCCAAAGCACGAATACGACACTCTCACCGAGGCAGCGCAGAAAGTCCTCTACGAGAGGTGGAGGGGTTTCGCACCTCCAGGGACATGTACACTCGTCCCCTTTCCGGATGAGCTAGTTGGGGAAAATGAATGGGGATGTCGATGGGTGGCGATTTGTCCGACGATGCGGTGGCCACATCGGGTCAGCTGGGACCGCGAGATTGTGTATGAGTGTGTGTGGAGTCTGCTGTGTCAGGTTGAGGGGTGGAATCGGGGCTGCAAGAACGAGGAGCGCATTGAGTCCATTCTGATCACCCCGATTGCGACGGGGATTGGAAAGGTGAGTGCGGCAAAGTGGGCGGAGCAGTTTGTGCTGGCGATGAGGCATTTTGTGGATGCATTGAGGAGGCCGGAAAGATGGGGAGCTTTGAGCTGGGGAGATGTGACTGAGGAGGTTGAGGAGGTGAAGGCGACGTGGGAGTTGTAAGGTCGACGCAGTCACTGGATGGTGTATATCATAGCTAAGTCTACCAGACATAAGACGCGCACATGCTCGGCTAGAAGTGGTCTGGATTGGATGGATCAATGTATTAAGATTCCAACGCCAGTGGACTTTGCTGCAGCTATCCACGGCCGGGCAAATTGATATACGGAAGTCGCTTCGTTGGTATTAATGGACATTCCCGCGGCTGCCAGAGGTTTTGCCCAGACGCCCTCGGAGACATAAGCCCGGCTCCCTTGATATATGTATTATTTTGACGGTTTCACAACATATCAAGTGATAACCGGTATACGTATATAGAGGACAACTGGTAGCCTTGACCAGATACCACTCCGGAGGAAAGTAACCGAGGAATGTTGATTCCGGAGTAACAGTTCTGTGGCTGACTGCATCGAAGAAGCGGGCTATCCCTAACCCATCCCTATTACAACAGGAATCGTACAGTCATATATAAGTACTCTCAATGTGCATAGCTCCAAACCTGACCCTCATCTAGTGACTGAACGTATCGGATGGAACCTACACCCTTGCAGCTTCAGCCTCGCTTAGTCATTATAGTATCATCGCATATAGTTAACCAGGCATCCATCGCTGACACCTGTCTGGTGAACCTTCATCCCATCACTCGTTCCTTGCTTTGCTGTCTATAATATGACCTCAAAGATGTATCTACTCTTTCATCCAAAAGTTCTCATCCTGCTGCTCGCTGCGCTGGTCACAATCGCATGCATATCTGTCAGGCGCTTCCTCGCCCGGCGCCAGTTCGCACGCAAGCACGGTTGCAAACCAGTAGCAAGATCCTTCAGCAAAGATCCTTTTCTAGGCCTTGATACTATCCGGGAGACCATCCGCGCTCTAAGACAGCACAAAATCCTCGAAAGGAGCGTCGAGCTCTTCCGCATCTACGGCAACACCTTTACCGTAAAGGAGCTGCAAAAACGCGCCATCCTAACCATAGAGCCGGAGAATATCAAAACGATTCTGTCGCTGAACTTTAACGACTACGGCCTCAGCCACCGGCTTCAACCCTTCAAACCACTCCTGGGCGAGGGCATCTTCGACACCGATGGCGCGCACTGGGCCGCATCGCGTGCCTTGATCCGGCCTAGTTTTACCCGCGACCAGGTGGCTGATTTGACGTCGTTGGAGGGTCTAATTCAGGATCTGTTTGCGTTGCTGCCGCGGGATGGGAAGACGGTAGTGGACTTGCAGGAGCTGTTCTTCCGGTACACGATCGATTCCGCGACTGAGTTCCTGTTCGGACAGTCAGTCAGGACGCTGAAGAAGACACAGTCCGAGCTTGAGTTCGCGCATGCCTTCCACTATGCCCAGAAGGCTATCATCACGCGAGGCATGCTAGGCTCGCTGGCCGTATTCTATCGCGATCGAAAGGCAGATGAGTGTAACCGCATCTGCAGGGAGCTTGTCCAGCGGTTCGTTGACGAGGCATTCCGCGCGGTTGAGAACAAAGGAGAGAAGAAACAGGTTGAGACGGGCCGCCAGAAGCGTATTTTCTCGCATGAGTTGGCGGCGCGGACATCCGATAAGCAGCGCGTTCTGGATGAGCTGATGAATGTGCTGTTGGCCGGTCGTGATACAACCGCTAGTCTACTGAGCAATTTGTTCTTCATGCTGGCGAAGAAGCCAGCGATTTGGGATAAGCTGCGTAGGGAGGTAGTTGGTTTACAGAGCCGGACACCAACTTATGAGGAGCTCCGCAGCCTGAGATATGTCCAGTGCTGTATAAACGAATGTAAGAGCGCGGCTCTACTACCTTGTCCCCTGCTAATCTTTCAGCACTACGTTTACACCCCGTTGTCCCACGCAATGAACGCCAGGCGGTGCGGGATACCGTTCTACCACTCGGAGGAGGCGACGATGGTCTCTCCCCGGTCTTCGTGCCCAAGGGTACCATCGTGTCCTACAACATCTACGCAATGCATCGGCGGGCGGACTTCTACGGGCCAGACGCAGAGGAATTCCGTCCTGAGCGCTGGGAGGATGGAAAGCTGCAGCCGCGCTGGGGTTATCTGCCGTTTAATGGCGGCCCGCGAATCTGCATCGGGCAGCGGTATGCGTTGACCGAGGTCAGCTACGTTCTTGTCCGGATGGTGCAGGAGTTTCGGGCTCTGGAGAGTCGGGATCCAGGACCGTGGGAGGAATCGCTGGCTTTGACGCTGTGCTCGCGGAATGGGACGAGGGTGTGTCTTATTCCTGGTTGAGTCAAGGACATAGATATCCATACGGTACCGTAGGATAGTCAAGAGTAGAGTTCATTAGGTTTATCTATAAGAGTGGAGAAGTATAATGTACAACTTGGATCAACCCAAAGCCTTATCCAACGCCTGGCCCTTGCACATTTCGTAATAACTGCCTCGTTTCTCCAGCAACTCGGCATGACTACCCGCCTCCACGATCCTCCCAGCCCGAAAGACAAAGATGCAGTCCGCGTCCTTGATCGTACTCAGCCGATGCGCAACCGCAATGGTAGTCCTCTTCCCATCTTTAGCAGCCTCGCTCAGCGCCGCCTGCACAATCCTCTCGCTTTCCGTATCGAGCGCACTGGTCGCTTCATCCAGCAGCAGAATCTTCGGATCGCGGATCAGTGCCCGAGCAATCGCGACCCGCTGGCGCTGCCCGCCGGACAGCTTCGCGCCGCGAGGGCCAACCTCGCTGCTTAAGCCGTCAGGCAACGAGACGACGAAATCAAAGATGTTCGCGTCCTTGCAGGCTTGTTCGATTTGAGCTTCTGTCGCTTCCTTTGATTCAACCAGACCCATGGCGACGTTCTCGCGGATGCTACCTTGGTACAGGACTGGCTCCTGCTGGACGAGAGCCAAGCGGCGGCGGTGATCCTGTGGGTCGATCTCGTGGATTGGCTGGTCGTTGACGGCGATGTAGCCGGAAGTTGGGTCGTAGAAGCGGGCAAGCAGATTGATCATCGTAGACTTGCCGCAGCCGGATGGACCGACAAAGGCCACGAATTTGCCTGGTGGGATGGTAACGTCGATCCCGGAAATGACGTTGGAGCGTGGGCGAGAAGGATAGGCAAAGTCGAGAGCGTGGCAATCGACAGTAACGGGTTCAGGGTCCTGTGAGGGTCCATCCGAAGGAGGCTCGTTGGAAAAGCTATTGTCGATAGCCGGGACACGCTGGCGCAGCCAGAATATGTAGTTTGTTGAGCCTGTCGCTTTCGTGATGCTGGTCGTGTACTGGAAGATAGCAGCTGCGTTCTCGCCTCCAACCACGACGGCAGTGAAGACCACGAAGAACTGCTCGTTGGTGTACTCGCCCGTCGAGATGAGTTTTCCCCCGTACCAGAAGCCGAGAGCCATGGCTAAGAAATTGATAGATTGTGTCAGGGCGTACCAGAACATGGTGAAAGTCAGTGCCTTCACAGATTGCTCTGCGACAATGGTTAGCCTTTCCCGGTAGATCTGAAGCATCTTGTTCTCTAGCGTAAGAGATGCCACCGTGCGGATGGCTGAGATTGCTTCTGCCGCAATTGCAGCACTGCTGGCGAAGCGCGCCGAGGTATCTTCATCCAGCTTGTACTCCAGTCGAATGCGGAAGTAGCCGCTAAGCAGCAAGGGAGGGAGAGCTCCAAAGACACACACGAGGCCGAGTTTCCAGCCATACGCGATGCCCAGGACAGAGACGGAGACGACCGTGACGATGTTGATCAGAATCAAACCAGAGTTGATCCCCAAGAGCTCGTTCAGATTCGAGGCGTGGATCAGCAGCCGAGAGGAAATCGCCCCAGTAGCGTTGTGTTCCAAGTCGAAGAATGCAATCTCTTGCTTCATGGTGTTCCTGAAGAGTTCGCGGCGGTACCTCCGGCTGACTTTCTGTGGCATGATATGAGCAAGGTAAACGAACACGGAAAAGACGGGCAAGGGACATTACCTGAATGATGACGTTGGCCATCCATCCCAATAAGAAGTAGATGAAGAGGTTGGCAAGGGCGACAACGAAGAACATCAGCGCCCAGAAATCTCCCCGACGAACAGCCTCACTGCCACGTAGCTGAAAGACCTGAAATGTCCGCGCGAGAATGACGGCTTGTGCTGGGAATGTGCCACCTGCCATGGGTTAGAAAAGGGTCTAAGAAGCTGATGAGCACACTGACCTCCAAGAATACACACAATCGCCACAAGCGCGTATAGTCCCCACAGCTGCCGCTGCTCCTTTATCAAAAGCCACAGACATCGAATGAGACTGTATCCCATAGTCTCCTTAGCGGCTGCTTTTGCCTTCTCGTCGGCAGAGAGAGACTCTGCGCCTACACTCCTTGTGTGATGCAGCGACAGCTTCGCGGCAGACTTTGCATCATCCTTCTCCTCAGTTACTCCCTCGTTTTCCGAGTCAGCCTGCTCGTCAGCCTTGCCATCTGCTTTCTCCAGATCCTGCGCCCTGACAAGCCTCGCATAAGCACCGTCTCTGGCAATGAGTTCTTGGTGTGTTCCCTGCTCAATGATTCTCCCAGCGGACATGACGGCGATGTTATCCGCCTTCTGCACAGTAGACAGCTTGTGCGCAATGGTGATGGTCGTCCGGCCGACAGAGATATTATCCAGCGCGCTCTGGACAATCTTCTCAGCCTTGGGATCTAGAGCAGACGTGGCTTCATCCAGCAGCAGAACCGACGGCCGAGAAATGATACTCCGAGCAATGGCAATCCGTTGCTTCTGCCCTCCGGACAGCATGCGCGCACGTTCTCCAATCTGGGTATCATACTGTCTGGGCAGGTTCTCAATGAACTCATGCGCGTAAGCATCTCGACAAGCTTCTTTCACAAGCGCAAGCTTCTGCTCGTACGGGGCCTCTGCGTACGGCGTCCCTTCCAAGCCGAAAGCGACGTTGTCGAAGATCGTCCCGCTAAATAGAACAGGTTCCTGCTGCACGAGGCGAATCTGGGTGCGTAGCCAGGCAATGTTGAGCGTCTGGATGTCGATGCCGTCGAGTAGGATTGTCCCTGCTGCTGGGTCGTACCAGCGCTCGAGCAGCCCAACGATGGTGCTCTTCCCCGAACCACTGGCGCCGACCAGTGCGGTTGTCTTGCCGGCAGGAACGCTCAAGTTCAGGCCGTTGAGAACTTGCGTATCTGGGCGAGAGGGGTATGCGAACTCGAGAGCTTTTATTTCAATCTCGCCAACGCATTTCTCAGGTGTCAATCCCGTGGTTGAGAGGGAGTCGATAGCAGACTTCTTGTCGATGACGCGGAAGAGCTCGTCCGCAGCGGCGGCGGCTTTAGTGATGGTGATGATTTGAGGTGCAACTTGAGTCAGAGCTGTAGCAGCAACGACTACAGCGAAGATGACACTGACAAAGAATCAGTAAGACCAGCTATCCAGCCAGGCAGCAAAAACGCACGTTACGATGTCCCCCGGCTCGTGGACCTCACCACGAGCGTACATCCGGATGCCCTGCCAAAAGGCAAGACCGTATCCTGCGTAGACGCAGAAGAACTCGGTCGAGAACAACACCCCATAATTCGGTGATTTCTTCATGCCGACTCGCTCCATTTCGGCCAGGTAATCCTCGTACCGCTTCGCCATCACCGGTTGCAGCCAGAAAGCATGAACCGTCGAGATACTCGAGAAGACCTCTTCGGCGACTAGGCTAGCGCGCGAATATATCCCCATCAGCTTGTCCTCATTCTTCACCTCGATGCCCATGCAGACTCCGGTAACGATGACGATGGTCGGGACGACGCAGACGGTAATGAGCGTGAGCTTCCACTGCACGGCAAAGGCGACCACAAACGCCGCTACGAAAGTCGCGCAGCTCTGCACAAAGACAGACAGCTTTTCCGAAATGCCATTGGTGACTAGATTGCCGTTCGTGGTGACTTTGACCGACGGCGACCCGGTGTCTTTCGAATCAAAGTAACTCATGTCCAGGCGCAAGAGACTCTGGAGAAAGTCCAGCCGCAGCGCTTTCGTTGCTCGAATGGCCGCAATCGACGCGGTCACAGTGTGGATGTAGACGAGGGCAAATTTGGCAATAAACAGATATACCAAGTAAAGGCTGGACAGGTTAGCCAGTGTCCATGCTTGGATGGGCAGATGACTGACGCATATTTCGACACCTCCCTCATATAATCGTCCGGACCAAGAGCGCCCAGGGCAAAGTTGTTAAACGTCGTCACGAACTTGCCAAAGATCAAATCCATCAACGGAAGGGCCGCGCCAGCTGCGATGGCTGCAACGATGGCGACAGAGTACAGAATCCAGCTAGTTCTGTCGGCATAACTGAATATGCGCATGTAGCTCTTGAAGCCAGAGGGTTTTGGCTCGTCTTCGACTCCATCTGGTTTCAGCTCTTGATTATTCTCCATGTCCGACATGACGGCCACAGGAATCTAGATGAAGTCGCTGCGAGGAAGTCGTGTTATTGATATCCTCCCCGGACGTTGAGATCGGAGGCCGCGGGCCCCGAGTGACTGCTTACACGCCGTAACATGCTGAGACATCTGCCTGTTGCTCTGATCGATTATCCAATAAGAGTGCACAGCTTTTTGAGTCATGACGACTATTGAGACCATATAGATTTCCCTAGTGCCATGGGTATTGGTCATTCCGGGGTCAAAGGGTTAATTAGTTGGCGGTGATATTGTCAGCACTAACAAAGCGTGGAGTCCTAGGGACCCGGTAGAGTTTTCCTGTACCAAGATCTTAGATGACCAATCATATATTAGTTTATATCACCCAAATATTGACGTGCAGATGCTGAACTGACTTTATCGAGTACTGGTCCCGGTCTCGTTAGGGCCCATGAAATCATGCCCGGAGAAGCTCTTCCACTTCCAGAGACCAGGTGCTGTGAGATCCAGCTTTGATGGCCGATCACTGCTAATTATACTCTAACAGGAATCTCCTAGCCCTTGTAGCTTCTAGCGTTATATGGTTCCCCAGTAATAACAGCTCCATTCAACTCTGACTGCAAGGACAGTTATGGTTAAGGCCGAGTCAAGTCATACAAACCAGGAACCCTCTTCCTCAATTCCCCAAATGTGAAGCAGTGACATGAGTTAGTTCTTAACCGACAGTTTGCCCAAATTCACTGAATGCGTAGTTCAGCTGCCAAGATGTTGGGAAGGGGGAAAATGGCATGTCGGCCTGTATATCAGCCAGGCCAAGGGCATAATAGGCTATCCTTACTGTCAGCAGTTGGGACTACATAAGCAATGTCAGCATAGTAAATACAGCCACATGTGCAG